AGTATATAAAAAATTCAACTACATCACTGCAAACAATTTAATTAGTGACTCAAATTTCTCATACGATGATTAACTCTATTCCTGCCAACATTTGCAGCCACCGCATCGGGCAAGTGTTAGCCGATACACTTAGTTACATACACACTTGCCTACATACATACATATATAATATATTAGTAACTAGTGGCTTATGGTTAATTACCATTCAACAAAAATGTTCAATTTAAAATAATAAATTTATGAATAATAATATTCTTATAATCACTTGTCATTTGACAAAATTTGTGTTCCGTTACTTCAAGTTGTGCATTACTAATTATGTATGTACATATCATTGATGTCATAAACCTAAAAGTAAATTTTTACGTATGTAGCCAGATTCATTTTCTATTAGTTATGGTAAATACAAGTTTAACCAAATACGGCTGAACTTTTTCCACTGCAATAAAACAGCGGTCTGTGTTTAATCACTTACTCTTTAGACTAATGAGAGACCGCAACGATACAAATTAATATCGAATTTAACCAAATAATTAACATTTCTCCGAAAAAGAATAATAAGAAAGCATTTTGTACACAAAAATAGAAAACATTACAATAAATAGGCGCCGAGTAGCAAACCGTACAAAATTAAATATTTTCAAATAAAGCTAAAAAACAACAATGACGAATGTTTAAATCGAAGAAAACGAAAACACACTCATTTGAATTTCCACGAATAATGACTCTATAGAAAACAATCTATGAATGAATGAACGAGATTTTTTTCTCAATTTAATACGCAAGCAATTGTTGGGGAATCTCCAATAACCAAAAGTATACTCTCCTGGAATGTTATTGTTGTTATTAACATATTAACATACATGTGCACAAAATCGCAAACGTTTCGGTTTTACGCATGACTCATGCATTCACGTTTTCTCACAATCACGCTCACAATCGACATTCAGAGCTTTACATTGTCTGATCTCTATTAAAACCATTGCAGAAAACAATTCTCAGAGACTCTCACATTATACAGTAATTTTTAAACTGCATACTGAGTGTATGTGTGTGTGTATATTACCCGTATATGACGTAGCTCGTGTAGTAAACCAGCGAAAATTTTCATTCATAAAAATTCCATGTGATTTTACAGTGATCACGTAAGATACATATATGAAGGCTGGTGTTCTAATCAGGTAATGACGTAGTCGAGTCAGTGTGAATATAGCATACCCAGCAAGAAAATATAATTTCATAAGAAGTTACTTTAATTTTATTTATAAATTTATATATGTACATATGTACACTTGTGCTCACATAATTAAGCCACTGCATAGCAAAACTACGTTTCTGAAAATAAATTCACCGAATTAGCTTTTCATTTGTATAACGGTATGCAAAAAAGTTCCGTTATATGTTAGGAAGATGCTAAGATCATATTCAGAGAAATAAGTATCGTGGTTGGCGAAAAAATGAAAATAAACTCGCAGTTGATCTAGTCGCATGTGCTCATATAATTAAGCCAGTGTTACAAAAGCTTTGCAATCACTGTCTGTGTAAAAAAAATTATTAAAAAAGTGAAACGTTTATTGGTTCCATTTAATTTAAAAACGTTTTTTGAAAGTTTTCTAAACAATGGGTAAAAACAAGAGTACAGTTCCATGTGAAAGAGGAGTCATATGGGAATGTTACCAAAAGTTYAAAAATATTGCGAAAGTAGTGGAATATTTAACCTTTTCKARGGGAAAGGTTAAGAATGCTTTACAATATTTHAAAAAACATAAGACTTTTGAAAATCTGCCCCGTAAAAAACCCAGAAAAACAACTCCTAACGACGACAGGCAGATAGTACGGATGAGCAAGGTAGATCCTTTTTTGACCTCGAGTGAAATTAGAGCCCAAATTGAGCAAAATCATGGTGTACGGGTATCAGCACAGACAGTCCGACGGAGATTACAGGAAAATTTCTTAAATGGGCGAATTGCACGAAGCAAACCGATCGTTACAAAAAGGAACATCAAACGAAGGCTATCGTTTGCAAGAGAGCACCTGCARAAGGACTCAAAATTCTGGGATCTAGTGGTATGGAGTGATGAATCTAAATTTAATGTCTTTGGGAATGACGGTAGACCCTATGTCAGGCGACCACCACTACAAGAACTGAACCCACGGTATACTAAAAAAACTGTCAAACATGGTGGATCATCAGTCATGGTATGGGGGTGTTTTACTTCATGCGGAGTAGGACCACTTGTACAAATTGAGGGCAAAATGACTGGCAGTATGTACAGAGACATTTTAGCCGAACACCTAGATAAAAATTACGCCGATAATTTACCACTAGCATGGATGTTTCAACAGGATAACGACCCAAAGCACTGCTCCAGGGTCGTTAAGGACTGGTTTGCGATGAACCGTATCAAGTGTCTTGAGTGGCCTGCCCAAAGCCCGGATTTAAACCCTATAGAGAATCTATGGGGGATTATTAAAAGGGCAGTTGCGGCGAGAAAACCGTCAAATAAGGCTACGTTGTGGCAAATTTTAAATGAAGAATGGAGCAAAATTATTCCGGACCAATGTAACACACTAGTCCGTACAATGAACCAACGCTGCAGGGAAGTAATTTTGCAAAAGGGATTCCCAACAAAATATTAGTCTAAATAAGGCAAGTTTTTTTGAACAAAACATCGAATTMTTTTATCTGACAGCTTATTTTTGCAGGTGGCTTAATTATATGAGCACGAAAAATACATACCAATGAAGAAGAAAACAGATTTTTGCTTTTACATTAAAATTTACCTTTARAAAACTATAAGTACAATAAAGTTTAAGTACTTTATTTTAATTTTGTGAAACTTTTTTTTTCGATTTATCAATAAAATTCAACTTTTATGAATTTGTACACCATAACGTTTATGTGGCTTAATTGTGTGAGCACAGGTGTATGTATTGTAAATAAATATTTTGATTTTATGTGCTCTTAGCTGTACAAATTTTCATTATTTACTTATATGACTACTACTACTAATCTGTTTTGATCGGGCAGGCAAGCTACGTATGTATGTATGTACATACTATACAAATTATGTGTCCAATCTGGGTAATTTCTTCAGATACCTCTTAATTACTTTACAGACATAGTCTGTCTGTCAAACATACATAATTTATGACTTGATTTGAATCGTTCAGTTTCTTGGGGGGGATAGGGACGCCTGATTTCAGATCGATATCTTAAAAAAAAGAACTGAAGTGCTGCGTACAGACGGACGGACAGACGTGGCTAAACCAACTCAGCTCACGCCGATCATTTATATGTATGTACATATATGCATATACTATATATAATATATTTTATAGGTTCTCCGACGTTTTCTTTTAGGTGTTCCAAACTTCGTGGCAAATTTAATATACCCTGTTCATGGTATAATAAAATTATTACCAGTTATTTTCACTAAAACTGGATAATGTTCTGGATATTAGACGCCTTTTTAACTGTTTTCGAATTTACTGACCGAATCAATACTTCTTTCCTAGAGGGAAATGACTTGTATTATCTCAATTAAAACAATAAAAATGTTAACTTACATACATACCTACAAGTGTACATGCTCGTAAATGTATCACTTGCCTTAATTCAAACATTTTAATTCATCTGGATATACTTATGCACAAACCCGCATATAAATGTGTGAAAATGTAAACAAATATGACTAATCAACACGTAGGTCGCTCCAGCGGTAGCGATAGACAAGCACATGCTCTGCCTAGTTGCCTCCAAAGTCACTGTGAATTCCCTCAGTCTCATGGCTTGTTTCCCCAATAGCTAAATACGTTTAGTCATTTGCGATGTGCTCTCTATATGGGCTCTCACGTAGTTTACACGTATGTAGATGCACAGGTATGCGCGAGTATTGGTGATCAAAAATCTCATGCCATAATTTTTTTGCAAGCAGCAAAGCTTTCAGTTATGGTTTTCATGTCGAAGATTTGTGATTTGGCGATCGTCATTCATAATCATTTGTTGTTTGGCAGTGCTTGAAGTCGGAAATGTGCGGTGTGCTCACGTCTGCGGTTAAAGTACTCGTTGAATGTTTACGGAACTTGGAGTTTTTTCGGAAAAACGTGGAAATTCGTTTTCGGTTTTTCTTAATTACATTCGGTGTTTTCCGGATTACAGTTGCATTTAAAAATTTACATAAAGCGTTTTATTTGTGATTTCTTTGAAGTATATTGTTAATAAAGTGTGAGCCGGACTAAAGGAGGAACATGGAACATGCTGGCAAATATGATTCACATGGTAACAGTCAAGTTTTGGCGAGATTTCCAGGAAAGCCTAACTTAATACTACATACCAATGCGCACACTACGTATATACATACATACATATGTGAATCATATTGTTTTTAATTATTAAATTTATAACTCGCTTACAAAGTGAACTTCTTTTCGATAACGTCAATTCGAAACGCTTTTAAGCCGGATTAATTTACGACGAGAGTTAGCTGAGAATAATTGCAGTACGTTGCTTCTTAAACAAAATAAATTTGGAGTTGTGGATAGTTGTGAGTTGAGGGTGACTGCGAAGTGAACTTAGTGTCCATAAAAAACAAAGTGAAATTTATAATAGCTAAAAACTGGTGCAACAAAAACAAAAATATTTAAAGAAATAAAAATAAATAACTGAAACAAATATTTTTCTTCTGCTATAAATAATTTATTTGCGAATTTAAAAAAATATATACAGTTATGGAGAATAAAATAGAATCCACCATAGTACTAATTTTCCGTTCCAAAAATGTTTTTATTCCTTTCAAATATTATGTTGAGGTGCTGTGAAATCGGTTGTGAATTAAATTCAAAACTATAACAAATCAATACCGTTATTTACTGCAATTTGAATGGCGCTTACTCTCAACTACACGCCCGTTAAGAAATATTATGGCAACAGTGAATTTAAATGTATGAAACCTGCGATTTTATTTAAAAATTTGCAAATCAGTTATCAAAATATCCAAATGCATGAACATGGCCACCCGAAGGATAGTGAGAAAAAAATACAAAAAGTACAAACCCGCGCGGAAGAAGCGAAAGGCCTTCCAACAACAGTAGATAACGCAACAGTGTCATCCGTGGCTCAGTTCAGTTCGAAATTAGATACCAGAAGACGTCGTAGATCCAGTACTACTAGCAGCAGTAGCAGCGACACTAGTAGTACTTCGGATAGTTCGAGTGATGATGACACCGATAGTGACAGTTGGAAGAGTGGCGCTACTTATACGAATAGTAAACTTAGTGCACATAGTTATAGTAAACAAAAAGCCTTACGTGGCAGTCATGCCGCCCATATGCCCACTAGTGGGCTGCAAGAAACCCGCGCTAAGTCGAATTCGCCCTTGCCTTTGCTAGAAAAAGCCGACGGTGAAGTTGAAAAATCGTTTGTAAGTGCTAATGAAATGAGCGGGATCGTTGAAAGTGAAAGATTGCCGTCGAACGCAGATGAGGGTGATAGTAATGCATCCAGTGATAGTGTCAAATCGCGACCGGCCTCGCCAGTGGTTAAAGTGCCGTTGGATCCGCATGCTTGGAGTACTGACGACATAGCAAAGTGGGTGAAATGGCTAACAAAACAGTTTAATATCGATCCAGAACCGGATATTTCACGTTTCCCCACCACTGGTGTTGAGTTGTGTGAATTGAGTAAAGCAGATTTTTGGGTTTGTGCCGGTTCGCGACAGGGGGGCATACTTTTGGCAAAACATTTTGCCTTGACATTGTACAGTGCAACCGGACGTGAGACAAGTCCAATGCTAAATGAAAATGAGCCAAGTGAGTAATATGTAGTATTTTATGAATGTGCATAAATATACATATATAAAATATATTTTGGTGTTATATATATATAACACCATATATATATATAACTGCGATATATTAGCAATAAGTTTAGACATTTACCAAGTTTTTATTATTTATATGTATTCACATTTGACTTTGAATCAATGGTTTACTAAACAACTACCGATGTTTACTGACATAACCAAACATTCCTCCGAATTTTTTTTTAAACCTAAAACAAGAAAAAACGTTAACTTCGGTTGCACCGAAGCTAATATACCCTTCACAGATGCATTTCTTTTAGTAACTATGTGTTTAGTTTGTATGGAAGCTATACGCTATAGTAATCGGATCTGAACAATTTTTTGTATGTTTGTATGGCCGCTATATGCTATAGTGAGCCGATCTGAACCATTTCTTCCGAAATTACATTATTTCTATTAACAATAACTCAAACCAAATTTCGTGAAAATATATCGTCAAATGAGGAAGTTTCCCCTGCAAGCATTTGATTCCGATCATTCAGTTTGTATGACAGCTATATGCTACAATTTCTTAGGAGATTACATCGTTGCCTTAGAAAATAATCTATACTAAATTTCGTAAAGATACCACCTCAAACGCAAAAGTTTTTCATACCAGCACTAGATTCCGAGCGTTCAGTTTGTATGGTGGCTATATGCTATAGTTAACCGATCTGAACAATTTCTTCGGAGATTACATTGTTGCCGTAGAAAACAATCTATACCAAATTTCGTGAAGATACATTGTCAAATGTTAAAGTTTTTCATACAAGAACTTTATTCCGATCGTTCAGTTTATATGGCAGTTATATATTATAGTGGTTCGATATCGGCAGTTCCGACACATGAGCAGCTTCATGAAGAGAAAATGACGTTTCCAAAATTTCAAAATGGTATCTGGACAGGCACACAGACCGACGGATATGGCTAAATCGACTCAGCCAACATACTGATCATTATATATACTTTATAGGGTCTCCGAAGCTTCCTTCTGGGTGTTACAAACTTCGTGACAAACTTAATATACCCTGTTCAGGGTATAAAAATTGTAATATTACCTCGAAAAAAATTACCGGCTACTTTCAACCGCATGAGCGGTATTACGTGCAATGTGAAGGTTTTCAAAGAACTGAGGATAAGAAGGATAGTCACCATAACCTCGTTGGTAGACAATAACAAATCCATAAGACAAAGTTGTACATCAAATATTTGTAATCAATTTACATCCTAAGCCTAACGCCAGATGTTTCTGGATGCCTCGATTCAATGTTATGATTTGACCTTGGCTCAACACGACAGCTCGTTTTTAATAAATTCAAGTTTTAAATTTTATTCTTCGTTACATTGATACATCTTATTGCAGGCTGAGAAAAGGAAAAAGGTGTTGCGAAAAAGTCCGGAGATTAAAGTGAATTTCATATTCCTTCTTATTGGTTTGTAGCAAGGCGAATCGATCGATTTTGGAGGAGTAATACAGCACTAATTTGCACAGGATTTTCGTATACCCAAACATTTATGTGCGTTAGGTCCAACACATTCTTTTGAATTCTGCAGATATCAACCTCAACTTAAGTTTAGGTCATCTAAATTTTGTTTTTGCTTTCCTTTGATGTTTTCGCGCGTAACTGACTTTATGGCCGTTGATGATTCGATGCTTAAGTAGCTATATGGAGTACAGCGAACCACTTTCGAATGGTTGCTTCGCCTGGAACTGAACCAGGATCAGGACCATGAAGTTACTTTTCGTTATCCGAAGAACTTCATCGTCAAAAATTGTGTTTCATTAACGCATTAAATTTCTTTTTATCGATTATTATAGATTTCTTTCGAAATTAACACAATTTTTTCCTCAAGATATGCAAAAATTATATCTCACACTTTCGGACAGTTTTTGCAATGCGTTAATTTGGGATTATGGGAAATATAAGGTTATAGGCCAATTTATATTAAGCGCGACAGTATTAAGGTAACCAATGTCAAATTCTCATAAGAATGCGATCTCATTTGTGCCAAACTTGATTTAATATCTGAGATAAAACTTCTTCTTTATTGAAGTACACATTGCTTATGCGGTTATAGCCGAGTTTACAACAGCGCGCCAGTCGTTATATCTTTTCGTTGTTTGGCACCAATTGGAGATTCCAAGTTTAGCCAGGTTCTTCTACACATCTTGGCGGGTACTGCGTGGAGTACTGTCAGAGCTGGAGTGTGTACATCCATTCGGACGACATGACCTAGCCAGCGTAGCCGCTGTCTTTTAATTCGCTTAACTATGTCAATGTCCTCGTATATCTCGTACAGTTCATCGTTCCACCGACTGCGGTATAAGTGACTTGTAGAGTTTAGTTCATCAAGAGAGGACTTTACTTCTGAATTTGCCTACTCAATCAAGAGTTATTCTGTGTTGGATTTCGTGGCTGATATTTGTTACTGGTTACTGGTGTTACTACTGATTATAAGATAGACGAAATTATCAGCGACTTTGCAGTTTTGACAGTCAATAGTAACGTGGGAGCCAAGTCGCGAGTGCGACGTTTGTTTCTTTGATGACAGGAGATATTTGGTCTTGTCCTTGTGCACTACCAAAACCCATTTGCTACGCTCTCTTATCCAGTCTGGAGAAAGCAGAACTAACGATGCGGTTGTTGAGGCGAATGATATCGATACCTCCTCTGTTCAACTCGAATTATTTTCTCCGGGAATAGATTAGTACCGAACGGCTCGGAGAGGTCCTTCCCGATCCTGACGGAGCTTTTGGTATTGCCCAATTTACACAGCCGTATTAGTTTTGCGGGGATTTCGTAATCCATAATACGTTTGCAATGGTCATCATCAAAAGAGAGTCTTGCATCCAAGGCTGTTTTCTTTCTTTCATTGGGCGGGTTTTTTAAGTGACGGGTTCTAAACTCAGCACAAAACCCTGAGAAGGCCTTCTCACTGTAGCTCGCCTTCAAACGGATGTTTTTTGGCTACCCAGAGGGTATTTGGCCTAAGACGCGGGAGTCGTGGACTGCTTGCATGAACTACACTTGGCTGCATATATAATATAATCCGCTTTGGTTGGACATTTAAGCTCATAGATATAATTATTTTCTTTTCAAAGAGCACCAGCAAGTGCTTGCTTGACCTTCACCCATTCCAAAAAAAAAACAAAAAAAAAAGAACTCGTAAATCTTTTGCAATAAAAAATAGGTTTCCGTTATCATCATCAAAATCAATTGACTATCATTGAAAATGGCCACCGCGGGATTTCGATTCCGTTAAGGCAATTTAGTTAGTACTAACATGTGCGTAGAAGAATAAAGGCAATGACCAACTTTCACGTTAAATGGAATTCAGTCTCGAGTTATTTGCTCATTGTATCCTCACTTGTGGCCGAACGCCACTTTTCTGAGCATTGAATCCTTTTTTGCACTTTCTCAATCTGTGTAATAATAGCCGCACTTATTTAGATCGAAATCGCATTGCGGTAAATTTCGTTGAGTGTGTGTATACATACTTACAAACATATGAGCGTGGGGCTATTGTAGTTAGTTGCATCTTGACCATTTTCCGCCGTCTTATTTTATTTATGTACTACAGTATGTCTTCATTTCTTTCACTGCTTAAACGCGTATTTACTGATAAGGTGCCCACACATGTGTGCGTGACTTGGAAAGTTTGTAATGAGCATACTTATAGGGTTGAAACCCCCTTGCAGCACAGTATCCGTGAGAATGTGTCACTTACATGGTTAATACCTTTATCCAAATAGTTTAGTTGATTGCATTCGAAATGACCTGCAGTTTTAACTAATCTCGTTAAACTAGTGCAAATGGTATGGAATCATTCAATAAAGATACACTAGTCAAATATATACATATGTATATATATATAAGTATTTGTATTGTTTTCAAAGCGAATGTAAAACATTATGCTCCAGCCAATTTCTTTGTACAAAAGTTTTCAATAATAACACAACTTTATTTAATAAGTAGGCGATGCTCAAACACTTTATTGTTGTGTTATTAAATGCACTTAACGGTGATTGTTGACTTAACTTTTCACCTGGATTAGTGATGAGTTCTAAGCCACCTAAACATTTAGATAAGAGTCTTTTATGATGCCAACTCGACAGCGTCTTTACTTCAGGGGGCGTGATGCCGTTAATAAACGATGTAAATATGATAATTTCTCACAGGATGTGGCATCTAATAATAAAATCAAAGTAATCCTCCCGCTTTGCGTGAAAGCATTGCGGCTCCGTCATTGTCTGCGTAGCGCACAGTAAGGCAGGCCAATACAATTTTGTTGTTAATTTGATGGGTCTACATTTTTCAAGAAAATTTATTGATTAAATCAGGTGATTTATGTTGTTTCACTGACATCTGCCACGTTCTCAATATAGTCCTGACATTGAACACGCATGTTCTTGTGATTTTTTTGAGGCTACACAAATAAAATCCTTAAAGTACGATTTTGGAAGAATGTTGTATACAATTTTTACGAAAATTGTTATAAAATACCTCAATGACAGGAATTATTTTAACGTTAAAAAGTATCCGGAAATTGTAAATAAAACGCAAAATATTTAATTATTCATCAATATTTATTTTGTCGCCTTCAAAGTAATCCCACTAGATGTAATACACTTATGTCAACGATTTTTCAAGTCGCGAAACCCTTTTCATAAGCACTGTTTGAGATGGCCATCAGCTACTTCCGCGAATTTTGTTTTATCTCTTCGATTGACAAGGTTCCACGGAGCGACAATTTCAGTTTAGGGAACAAGAACAAATCACTCGGAACCAAATCTGGTGAATACGGTGATTGATCGATAGTATTCATTACGTTTTTGGCATTAAATTCGTGCACAACCTACTATTTTTGAAAAAAAATTCAGCTTTATCTGGACGAGTCGAGCAAGAACTCAAAATATCCACTAAAATCTTGCGACCGGACTCGTGGGAGATGTTGAACTCTCTTGCC